ATCGAAACGTATAGTGTTAAAATGTAGCCAGTTCCTGCGAATGAGCAGCTTATGATACCGCTCCCTTGCTGAACTCGAGAACTTCCTGGTGGAACACCTCTGCAAAATGCAGGCTCGCTTCGTTACTTTCTACAGTTGCCTAGTCGAGGACTTGTAAGCGTGCAACTAAGCGCTCACTGGCAATCCAAAGGAAAGCGATTCGAAGCAGAATGTCCTTCAAAGCCACTAGTAAGGAACAGAGTTTTTCTATCATCTCATTTCTTCACCTTGGAGCGGATATGCTACAAGACAATAGTAACTTGCCGCGCTGGTGGCCATGGGAGGCGGACAAGAGAATCGTTATTTGCCGCTTCGTCGCGCGCGGCAATGGGCGCGACGTTTCCTCAATTGCACTACCCTTTCGATTGGAGCATCGGATTTCATGTAGACAAGGACATGGTAGACACTTATGTCTATTTTTGGTCATACATTGCCTATTCTCGACCAGTGACCACCGACCGCGCCTGCTAGTGAAGACTTGAAATCGTGGTCACTAGCGGGCGCGATCGCACGCGACGCCCACTGCTGCGACGAATCACGATTCTTACATACCCGATGCCGGGGCGACTGACCCGCGCCCGACAGACGAGTTATCCTTCTTGGCCATTAGTGTGAATGGAACGGGAAAGTTCGATAGCACCCTCCACAGAATTTTGTCTCCGCTTGAATCAATACGAGTTTCGCTACTCCAATTTTGAAACTGATACTTATCGAAAATTTAACGCGCATCATTGCACGGCACGTCGCGCGAACACGCGACAAATCGCGACGGCTTTGTCCACCTCCCCCTTTATGAGCCGACTTTGTCGGTATAGCGCATTCACATGTATAATGCAACACTCGTACCTAGTGGCGATATTGAATAAGTCCTGACGCTGGTCCTTGACTTAGTTTGGGCCACGTGATGTGGCTACATATTAAGGCCACCATGCGATAATCAAGATCCTGGCCACGGTCGACGTTAACTTTTCGGTCGGGCCCAGGTGTCGTCAGTAGTCCGCAAGTGGGGATGTTCGCAAGGTGGTGATCGCTCCCAACTCTCCGTGAGAGCGAGATGCAGCGCTAATATTTCAACCGCTCATCGCGCTAAGAAATGTATCACATATGGAAAGGAAAATATCCTCTGCCTTGAAGGTGATTTACCCGTTTTCAGGCCGGGGATCTTCCAACAGATTCGTTACTCGGAGCCTTGCAATGTACAATGGACGATGTTAGGAGCATTAATTGGCAGAGTGAGTCACTGGTTCGGACTGGAGTTTTTTTTTTTTCT